CTGCAAAATAGTTTTGAAAGGTGAATAGCCAGGCTGTCTAGGAGTTATAATTGAAATTACACAATAATAGTAATGTTCATATCTGACAAGGCTCAGTTGTAGGTAGTTAAGTACTTAGGTAACATTGCAGCACCAGCAAACAGTTTCATTTATGCAGATTTCCTCTGTAAGAATACAGATCCGCACGAAAGAATAAATGTTCTTTAAGGGTGCTGTTATAATGCTGTGTTGATATCCATAATAGCGATATAAAAGGATACATCAAACTGTCACTTTCGTCAGGCACATTTTAGAAACTAGATACATTATTACTGTGTAATATCTGACTAGACTTACTGGACTTTCAGTGCTCTAGTGTCCACTTAACCAATATCTTACCTAACCAATAATGAATAGCGAATCAAAAAGGATTAAATTACTTTGCAACAGGAGCGAAAGAGCAACATATTTAAATAGAATGAAGGTTGAGGTGGTTTTGGAAAAAAGAGTTTACCTGGTCAGTGGTGGCTTAATTATGGACTTCGAGTTTACGTTTGGATGAACTAGAACAAACGAGACATAGACGTTCTCAAAACTCCTTCAGATATTTGCCCATTAAAATACCTGACAAAATGGTTATTCATTTCACTGTGGCTTTCACTGGTTCTCTGACTCATGTCAGCAGTTGATGCAATGTGTGATATAAAAATTATCTTTTCACCTTCCTACTGTTTTATTCAAAGCATTAATCGAAAAATATTTTCACAAAAGACTAGATGAAAACAAATTTTTAGAGATTGTAAGTGAAGAGTAATTCATAGAACACGTATCTTAAACCATTTGAAAAGCCTGACAACATGTTGGTTACTCTTGGTCTATAATGCTGTTTCCTTCGGTATTCCTAATAGTTTTCGTGATGATGTACAGGAAGATTTGCCAACCAAACCTTTAGTTATGTTAACTATCTGATAGCAGAGTAGAATTCCAATCACCTGACTCACATCTTATTATTTGGATAGCTAACTAGCCAGCTGATTTCTATTTTTTAATATTCAAGACATTACTACCAAACGATTCGTAATTAATACGGCCTTATTTTTAGTCTATAAGACTGTTGCGGGTGGTAATTTAAAAAGTTAAATAAAATACACCAATACATATCACCCTCATATAATCCAAATGATCGATGTTTTGAGCTCACTGGTGGGACTTTAAAATACAGTATAGCAAAATAATTATTCATTCTTTCCACATAAATAATTATTAATATTCCCTACTGTTCCGGTGGTTCAGTGGTATACCGTTCGCCAATCATGCCAAGGTTCGACCGCTGGCATGCTCACACCTAAATCTCTCTAAGTCGACAGTAAGGATGATAAAGGAGGGAAGTTGGGCGTAGGGCTAGCAACCTCACCTCTTAAAAATTAAAAAACCCCACTGCTACCAAAACTTCAAAGCTGTACTTTGAAGCCACACGTTCCACTGGGAATTTTAAGGGATAAAATAAAAAAAAACAAATACCTACGGTTCCGAGTGAGACACAGGGCTTCAGGAGCCCATCTCCATTTCACTTTGTTCTCTGTTGTCTTTTTCAGCTTACCCTACGATTGTCCATAAGCTTTCATTCCCTCTCCACATGATGTCCTCGTCGTTTTCCATTCGGGATCCACTCGATGATATGACACGCCACATCCATCAACGGTCACCGTTTATTGGATCTATCACCATTCTCTCCTATATATTTATTGGGAAATAGGTCCTTTGTTGGTTTGTTGCCGGAGTTTTTTTGTTTTTTATTATTAGTTGACCAATTCACTAGTTTACTAGCTGTTCATAAGCCTACGAAAACAGAGAAGTTTGAAGTGGGGCTAGTGGCCCTACCCGAGAAAATAATAATACAGATTTCACGAGAATTATTTAAGTTTGTCAGTAAAACAATGGCGGAGTCATAGGTGGTTTCCTTTTCTAATTCTGTGAAAAAATGAGTTCGCCTTGTTGTACTAAATAGTAATTAACATCATTTTGTGTTAATATTGGCAATAATGTGATTGTCAGATGACGAGTCCCAAATAGAACGAAATGCGCATCCTGGATTCCACTAATTAAATAATGTGATTGATTCAAAATGTCTATCATATTTATTATCATTATCCAAGCTATACAAATATTTGGCCGAAGAAAAGAAAGAATTAAATGGTCACTACGCATCCTGGTGTAAGTATAAGCTTGACTTAGCTTCAAAAATGAAAATATGATCACCATGCCACAACATAAAACTGGTCACAGTGGTACACGTAATTCGATGCCGTTTGACCTGTAGCATAAACCAATTCCATGTGGTATTTTTCTTCGTCTCTGAGATATGCAGAGTGGTAGGTTTAAAACCAATTAAAATTATGCGTCAGTACATTTTACTATCATAGAACATAACTAAATGATTGTAACAATAAGAAATAGGGAAAATTTTTTGCCCTGTGTTGGATGAAAATGCAAGATCAGAAAAACGAGATTTTTTTCCTTCACCTTCCCCAGTGGAACATAGGGCTTCAAGCTAGTGGCTTGAAGTTTCTGTAGCAGTGTTTATTTTACAGGATGGGGTTACTAGCCTCATGCCCAGCCTTTCCTCTTCACCAGCAGTATCTCTGACTAAGCGAGGTAAAGGAGTGCGTCGGGGAGTGTCCTAACCGCTAAGCCGCCAAAAAGCGAGAAAAGCCTTCATTATTTTGAAATCATTGTTGGAATCCGCTGCAATCAGCTTAAAGAACAAGATTAGGATTTCCATCACTAATGTTAAGTCAGCATTTCTGTGTGGTGTAGAGATACTGGTGTGGGCGACACATATAGCACTTCTGACAAGCTACCGGAGACTGCCATCAACAGATGCTTACGCCCATACTGAATGTCAAATGGTCGAATGAGATCGGTGAGCAACTAGGATCTCCGGGAATGAACCAACTGAGAACCTACTACCCAAAAGGTATGCCTAAAGAAATGGAGGTGGATGTAACATACTTTGAGGAAACCGTGGAATGACAACACACTCCAGTGAGGCCCTCGGATGGAACCAAAATTGGATAAGAAGAGTAGGGCGTTGGTCCGAGGGTGACGCGGAGGAGATTGTATGGGGGAGGAGACTACAACTTATAGGCAAATGAGACTCGAGCTAAAAAGGACTACAGAAAACAGAATGGAATGGAGATGTCCCATTAAAGCGCTTTATTCTACTTGCAACCTAAAGCAATAATAATAATAACAATTCAGTATTCTCCAGACACTGACACTTGACCTTGACCTCATTATTACTCATCAAATCATCTCTTCTTTCAGAATACCCCTCATAATGCAGAGGTGAATCTGAAAGTAAACATCATATTGCGTTATTTTGCTACTTGATAAAATCTAAGTTTGTATACACTGGAGAAGTTCTAATATATATTCAATTACAATAGTTTTATCCACACGCATAATCTTTAACGTGACTCAAATATAACCAATTGGTAGCTCTACAAGTGAAGCGAATAATTCATTCAAAATATGTTCATCATATCAGTTTACGTGGTAACACAAAAAATCATTTACTGATCTCCGTTTTATTCGTTTAAAAAAAACTGGCAGTCGGTAGTAGTAGTAGTAGCTAGACTTTATAAAATCTTTTATGCAAACAACAAGTTGTTATCGAAATAGTCGCAACACGCAACCACACACCCACACAAACAACTCATACAAACACGCTTATGAATAACCAAGATAAAGTTTTAATTTCAATACTTTTCTTATTGCTACCACTTTTCATCATTCAAATCAATGCATAAATCATAAAATGATGAAACATTGTTTCACGCAGATATGAAACTGATTAAATGATCAGCTGATCAGTTGATTGATTGTTTTTGATCACTGTTATCACTGCTACTATTATCATCATATCAGTGTCAGTGTCACTTGCAAAATAATAAATCAAGTGATCATGATTAGGAGGTATTCGTGGATAGACAATAGATAAACAATCCAATTGATAAATCAATAAACCTAAATTATTTATCATTATCATTATTCATTGAAATGAATGATTTACAAATTTGTGTATATATATATTTAAAATTTCACAAGTACTTATTAATCACGAAAATAAAAATTTTTTGTTTTACTCTTTTTGAGGTAAACAATTTTGTTTTCTAAACACAATTGCAAGTAGCTTTAGTTCAACAAAACAAAAAGAAATGAAATTGAAAATTGAATATTGAACAGTTTATTAGAAATAAATGATACCATGTTTGATGATATATTTTCATATGTAGCACAAATGATTCATTTAAAGATAAAGGGTTGATTGTTGAACATATGTGTATTTAACGAGACTATATACTGTAATAAAAGTTGATTCGATGGAGATTCATTTATTTCTGTGACAATTTTTATCCTTATTCTTATTAGTTTAAGTTACATTTTAGATGAAATGTAAAGAATGCAGTTGTCTGTGTATGCTTGAATGTCTAGGAAGCACATTTAATTCGTGAAATTAAAAAAAGACATTGATAATAGTCTATAAATGACTTACAGAACATTTGAAAATTAATCATTTACATGTCTACACATATTTATGTTTAAATAAACAAAATGTAAAGGACACTGACAATTGATGGAAGAAAAGTACCATTCACTTCTGAAAAAACAAAAAAACAAAACGGTAAAACAAATTGGTTTCTAAAATGAAGCCAGTCTGAAATACTTTTCACTAGAAAATAAGTCTCAGTCTCCCGCTTTTTTTTTCTTCCTTAATTCTGAACTTTTTGAATGCGTTTAAATTGAACAGAAAGAAAATTCCCGCGAAGTTTAAAACATTAAAATAAAATTAAACTGGAAACTTGATACATCCATCACTTTTCATCCAACTGATAAAATTACTTTAAAAGTGAATAGACTAAAAAGCAAAATTAACCAGAGAAGTATACATTTGTGCACTTTAAGGTATAGTGTGTTGTATCGTATTCACTGACTGATTGGTTTCTTTTTGTCTTGTATTATCGTTTCTTCGATTTTCTACTTACACAACCACAGAGGAGCAATCTGCCTTTATTCTTTTGTTTATCCCCATTTGTCATTGGTTTAGTGATCAAATCTTGTTTTTGATGGGATTTCTTCTTTTTACTCAATATGGATGTGATTGTTTTGGATTTCGGTTGGATATCTGTATTTAAAAGCAGAAGAAAAGACAGGCGCATAGTTTGAGAAAAATTGCACATTCATTTAAACAAAATTAGATAGTTAGTAAAATACAGACAGGATACCTAATCAGTCTAAGCCTAGACAAAGCAAACAATAGATGGTTGTTTAAATGGAAGATTCAGACAAGTTTATGAGTTTTAATAGCACCTACTTTAGTTACTGATAATTGCCAGTTATTTCAGCGATTTAAGTGACAGTGCAATGTAGAGTCACTTGTTCTCTAAGCTGAAGGTTGACTTCACAAACTTTAAAGCAGGCTTTTGCCTTAATGAATCTGTGATTTTCTAGAAAGTCCAAGTCAGTCTGTACATCCACATCTTGAGTTATTAATATCTCGATGTACTCACTGAAGACATTGGCTAGGGGTCGCGCTATGTTGTAAATTGGCAGAAGTTGGAATTCATGGGCCATTGGATTGGGTTCCAGTGGCTTAATAGTATACGAATTCGCCTTGTAAGCCAGAAGGTCCTGGTGGGTGCGTGCTGATGAAGAGTTCCAGCTAGGACGAAACAGCTATCCAGTATTCCCAGGTTATCCAATGGTTCTCTAACTAATGTCAGCTCATGATGAAAATCCTGTAACCAGTCAAATCCCTACAAACCAACACTTGAATATCTCGATGTATTATTTCTTTCTGCATACTAGACGAAAACTCCAGTAGATGATATCCCAGGTGAACAAGAATTATTCAATAAGTTTATCACTGGTTTATTAGTCTGACGATTCTTGCTTGGAAGAATGCTGCATAAAGTTATCAACACAGTGGCAAATAGAAGTAAGTGGATTCGTGCATAATATACTATACACCAATGATTCATTGAGATGAGTAGTTGAATGCCGCTCACATCAAATAGTAGTGCTTCTTTGTCGCATTGAAGTAATCTACACAATGTATGACTGTTTCCCTGTCTTCGAGACAAGCTCAAAAAGAGTCAAACTGAGTAAACCGCCGATGAGCTTTGTCCAAAACTAGCGAAATGGCCGTCCAATGTTTAGTTCACTTCCGTCTGGTCAGCGAGCAACACTCATTGATCGAGTGGTATGTGACCACTCATCTTGATCAGTCAGAAGTGTAGAGTTTCATGGAATTATGCTTACCTTGCTTATTATGATACGATTATGGCATCAAGCAGATCACGTATTGTGATCTGAACAATTTTGGTTTCCAAAGAAAACTGTAATGGAAGTTTACCTCAAACTGTGTGAATTACAAATCGCGAATTGATTCGCAAATTGGGATTTTGATTGAATAGACTCATTTTATCATTTTCCTCAATTTTTCTCTAAGAACTCTTCTACTGAAATTAATCCTTTAGAAATAAGTAAAAAAGTTATTAACGTGTATTCCTTAAAATTTCATTTAGAATATTTAGTGAATATTTTTGCAAGCTGGAAAGTTCATGAGGACTGTTGTAAGTTTACTGTTGTTGGAAATACAACTTCTCTATTAGGGATAAAGTTTCAAAGTTACGAAACTTGATTCATATGAAAGATAGAACTTCAACTGTCTTACACATATATGCGTGTCTTCTGCAGAATCCATGCCTAATAATCAAATACATGCCTTTTAAGAATAAAAAGCGATTTGATTTTAAAGTCAGCGAAGCATGGATAAGTAACACCATGTCACAATAACCATTTCATCGCTTCAAAAAGATGGTTAAACAGTCAGAATTTGCATAAATATACATAGATGATAGCGGTAGCATCAGAAATTATTCATCTTGATGAAGAACACAACATTACAGAAATCAAGCTACCTAACTGCATGTCTTTTATGACATCTTTTGGTAGAGGTTAACTGAATAGCAGTGGAGAAACAGTCGGATATACAAACAGAATGAAGGTTTAACTTTAGTTTCATTATTGTTTTTCACTTTGATTTATAAAATTCTTATTTGGTTTGACAACAATAATTTTTGAATATATATGTTATCATCTCTTATCAAATAATTATTCTTTAGTTGTTTCTTTAGCATAGTGAATAAGAGAATATTCAGCACTGATGCACATAAGCTTCTTTTACACCTAGTGAAATAAAGGGGTGAATGGTTCATTGTGACATTTTCAAGAATTCACAGGTTTGTAAGAATTAGACTTGGCTTAATGTAGACCTAAAACAACCACCCTTACAAAACTTATTCACCGCTTTCTGACCTTAGCTGTACTCTGCCTAACGTGCAAGCACTAACGAACTGAATCAAGGTAAAACGACTCGAGATGGCAAGTGTGCCTGGAACAGAGTTATATTTTTACACAAATGAGATATGAAACTTGATAAAAATAAGAGGTTATACACTTATCTGCTGCCTTGATTGTGGTAGGCTCGGAGAGTCCGCTGAATGAAAGCACAACTAGAGAGCGAACCGAAAAATGTACAGGATAGTCACGAATCGAAAGAGGAAGAAGTGCCAAAAGTGGATGAGTGCGTTCAAACAAAAGTTCAAAGGTTCAATGTACACTACAGGTTCATGAACTGGAAAAATTGCTTTCATATAACATAGTTGATATATTATTCAAATAATATTACTGATATTATCAGGAGACCTGATCAGAAAGACAAAACCTATTGAGCATGCAGTGTAAACTGACTCATCGATTGAAATATTAACTCTTGTATTTATCCATTACTGGCTATAATAAAAACAGCTTAAAGGATGACGTCGACAAGTCATAATTTGTCCATGTAAAGTCTTCTCTTTCCCAAAAATACCTTCAGTATTCAAGATCATATTCAATAAAGTTTTGTTTTATGCATTCTTATTATCCTCATGCATAAGAATATACCAAATGAAGTGTTTCGGGAGTTTATAACGATGGTTTTATTTTTTTGACTTTAAGCGTATTTCAGTATTTTACTAGTAAACGTTTCTATGTCACTGTCTGTAGAACAAATAGTGTAAGAAAACACAGTAATAATTTTTAATAATGACTGAGGAGGGCTGAAAAGACACAGTAAAACAAAGCTGTGGAAACATTCATCTTAAACCACAAAATGATATCCAAACATCGTTTACTAAGTGATTATGCAAGACAGTTTTTCATATATCTGCTGCTATCATGACTTTTAAATTCGGATTCTGTCAGTTATTCGTCTCTTAGCTTGTTATTTTCATTCAGTGGAATAATAGTTGCAATGGTTTTAAGGCCGACCAATGGCTGCTACCTTGACGTTGTGGTCGGGCTTGCATATCGCAATGACCCAACGAGCTACACTGGCTAGAACTTATGTTCCTGTAGGTCCTACCATGCCAGAAAGGTTGTTTGGATAGCGGTTAGACAAAAAGCAGCTACCCAATTCAATACTATGATTCAAACAAATTCACAAAATATCATGCCGGATGGGTCGGGGCCCGGATTAACAACGACCGCGCTTCCTGCTGCTGTGTCACAGGGCAGAAGTGATAAATATGCTGCTGAGACACACCAAACAAGAAAGAAAAAACAAAAACAGGCCGTGTGTGACCGGCCTCAAGCAGTTGTCCCCTGGGCTCTGCGGTCACGCAACACTAACCTTCTCTCTCTCCCTTTCTCAGGCGTGAGGCTAGCAACCCCACCCTGTAAACAAAGCTGGTACAGAAACTTCAGCACGACGAATCTCCTGACGAGGATATCAAAGCGAGAATCGGAAAAGCAAGACAAGCTTTCACTACTCTCAAGCCTGTGTGGAGGTCAACAGCACTCAGCATCAAAAATAAGATCCGGATTTTCAACTCCAATGTGAAGTCAGTGCTACTATACGGATCAGAGACTTGCACTGCGCGTCATGAAGAGCACCTCAATCAAACTACAGACCTTCATTAACAGTTGTCTTCGCTCAACACTTAAGATCAGATAGCCAGAAAAGATCAGCAACAGGGATCTTTGGGAACAAACCAACCAGGAACCGATTGTGAAACAAATATGCAGGAAGAAATGGAGGTGGATTGGCCATACTCTGAGGAAACCATCAAGTGACATCACTAAACAAGCCATTGCTCAAGTGGAACCCGAAAAGGAAGCGGCGAGTTGGTCGTCAGTGCGGGGGTGACATGGAGGACGTCATGTGAAGAGGAGATGAAAACGTGTGGGCAGACATGGAGCCAGGTGAAGACTCTAGCAGAGAACCGAACTCAATGGAGACGCACAGCTGAAGCCCTATGTTCCTCTAGGAATTAAAGGAAACAATAATATATAATAATAATGGTTTTAAGGCTATATAAAAATGGATATGATCAGCTATGTGCATTCATCGTTCCTATACATAAAACTGTCACCTTACTAAACTGTGAATTATGAACATTCTACGTCGCAACTAACTGCGATATAGGAAAAGAAATGGCAAGTAAAACTTGAACGTGAAGCAATAACAAATGTCTTTGGCATGTGGATCATACCAAAATTATGAAAGTTCATGGTCGTTACTAGTATTAATAATAGACAAGCAAAATAAGTTCATTTATTACAACCCTTTATGGACAAGATTTTACATATATCCAGTCTACCAAATATTCTCAAAAAGGAATATACCCTTGCCTATTTTTTATGTGTTTAGTTTCATCATGTATAATCGAATTAAAAAATGCGTCGAATAATAGAGACTGTGATATCTTTGAAGACAAATGACTATATGAAATGTCAAGTTAACTAGATTAAGTTTCATCGAATTACATAACTAAGCAATTGCTGAATAAAAGAAGCCTACTGCAATTCAACTTGTACTTTACCTTCAAATGACTACAATTCACTTTAAGTCTCAGTGAAGACATCGATACTGACAATGAAAACTTATGAATTAAAATTAAAAAGTAACTGAAATGTTATTTGTTCTTCTTAGTTTATAGTTGCACTACTGGTTAAACACCAATTTCTCCTTGACACTGTTTAGGAACTACTGAGATTTTAATGAACCACAGTCTAATAAGCCACTGATTGCTTCGGACAAGGACAGTCTCAGTTATTTAATTTCATCCTATAACGTCA